ATTACAAGTGTTTAACAATTTCTCCTTTATAGGTGAAGATAAAAGTATTAAGAGGGCATAAAGATGCTGTGAACAGTTGTTCATTTACATTTGATGACTCCAAAATTGTCACTGCCTCACATGACAAGACCCTGAGACTTTGGGTAGGTAGATTTCATTCACTGGGCATTGTTTTGGAAGTTGCTGGGATCTAGAAGCGTTACTTCCATATCATGCCCAGAAACATGATAGTATAACTACTATTATTAAAAACTGGATCATTGAATAATGCAATTCAAGAGTTTTCAGCGGCTTATCTATCATGGTATATGAGTAATCATACCATGTTGTACAAAAATGATATAGTAAGCATACACATGATTTCATGGGGCATTTTTATTGTTAATTTATTTTTAATTAGTTTTCTGTATTTTGGGGGATTTTTAACAAAGCAATTATTCCACTCATGTTTGTTGGATTTATGAGATGATTATAGCCAACTTGGCACTATCCACCTAGTTGGTTGTCTATCATCTCTTATAATCCATCAAGTATTTTCGCTTGCTCATGATTGGTTTAAACACTTCACATGACTGAATTTTCCCCAGCAAAAACTGGGGAATATCTGAGAATATGCCCCAATTCTCAAAACTATGCGTGTTGGGAAAAATATATGAAGGATAATTAACACAATAGCCTCCAACTGACTTTGAAAATATGCTCAGATATTTGTCCTTGGACATTATCTGTTCCTCAAAGCTCGCAGTTTTCCTCAAGCTACACTCTTGGAAAACTGTTCACTTTGCATAACTGATAATGTCCGTGGTCAAATATCCGAGCATGTTTTCGCGCCAAATGGAGGCTATTGTTTATATATCCAAGACACTCTTGTGGAATAATTGCTAATTATTATTTACTTTCTATCATTACATATCAGGATGCGACCTCTGGAGCACAAGTCAAGGTGTATAAAGGCCACAATTCATATGTGACTTGCTGTCACACAGACCCTAACAGTGCAAGGTTTGACAGAGGATGTGTTAGTTCTGAGTAAATATTTGTGTCACACTCACTCATCCTCATCGGGTCCATGAGGACTCTTGAGGCCAGAAATATTTGTGTAGACAGTGTTTTTTGGTGAAAAGAAAAGAAAAATAAAGCTGCTTGGCAATTTGACAGGCCCTTAGTAACAATAATGTAAGTTATTTTGCCATGCTCACTTGTTACCTACTAGGCTCATTTTTGTATGTCCCATGATTGTCACCAGGAAAGTAAGGAGGAGACATTTAACAGTGTTACAAATAGAGTGTTCTTCTGAGACCACCAACTTCCTTCACCATTAGCTGTCAGTATACAATCATGTGTTATCTATTTTTTGGTTGTTATTTAGGATTGCATCCGGTGGATGGGATAAAAGACTTCTTGTCTGGGATATTCAGACTGGTACAATTCTGGTATGACTCTCTGGTGCTCATTTTTTGTACCCAAATGAATGTTTACATGTTTGATTTCTGTAATAAAAGTATGCTGCAAGTTATTCTATTAAAGGCTTAGTCAGTTAATGATTATCATCAAATGAAAATAAATTATTCCAAATCAGCTCCAAAGTTCTTTTAATTTGGGACTCTAATTATGGGTTCCTACATAATTCACTTAATATTTACACCTGCAAGGTATGGTTCACAAAACAGTATATTATATGACTACCTCCAGAGATCCGGAAAAATTAGATATGTATGTATATTTTATTTGCAAAAAAGCATCTTTAATTATTAACCCCAAAGGTTGACCCTCAAACCATCCTAGTGGCTTGCCCCCTAGACACTCTCGAGATTAATTTTCTCTTTGGTGTGTACACCATATTAAACTCATCACAAATAGATGAGCTTGGGAACTGGTGCCTTAAAGGTGAGCAGGGTGCCAAAGCCATAAGCCGCTAGGAGGTATCCATGGCAACCCTGGAAAGCAAGAACCACCCAATGAGCGT